TGCCTGATTAAGGTGCAGAATACTAAACAAAATCAACAAATGCTGAAAAATACATGTATCTGTTAGTAATTCATCCTCAAATGACTCAATTCATCTTCAGAATAACCCTACATTGCAGTTAATTTGTGTGGGATAATATTGGTATTATCCCAGCAATTACAATGAGAAAAAAACTTACCATAAAGACCTCACATAACATTTTTCCCCACAATGCTTCAGGAGCGATAACCAAAAATAAGCTGAACTGTGACCTGACTGCATGGTCACTTCCCCAGAAGTAGAATTTGTCTATGCACAAGCTCAGTTAAAGATATTTTATTTTATAACAATTTTTTTCAACTATATCTGCTTTTTTTATGTTTAAACAGTTTTTATCATTCATTACCTTACTGCTTCGAAATTAGAAATTCAAAGAGATAAATGTTTTAAAATGTAGGATGCATGCTTTGCTTTGCAGGTAGTGCAACGGAGATCAGTAAAACTATGGCAGAATTAAATTGCCATACAGTGTGGATAATGGTACCAGAATTTGGGCATCAAAGGATACCCCGTAGGGGTATTAATCAGCTTGACAAATACTTTTTCCTTATTTTGAGGTCTGGTGTGGCAGCTGTGTGGTGAGACTGGGTGGCCTAGCGAGGCTGGGGATTTCTGTCTCCACTAAGTGTATCTGTCTGAACAGAGAATGAGTTGTTTAATCCAGGAATAAAGGTACATCGAACAACGTGTAACCTATGAACCAAGCTGGAGGCAAAGTAGTTATAAAAATTGTTTCTTCTGGAAAGGAACCTCAGTGGTTTAATAATTTTATTAGTTCTGCCAAGGTTTGTCATTTCTCTTTGCTTCGCTGTACCTTAGCTGCTGGGTTGTGAATGTCGTACCAGTAGTCTGCAGAGTTGCAGGTTATAACAAACAGTTTCTGAAGGAGGTCATATATATTTTGATCCCATTTGACATGTTTGTGTGAGGGGATGAAGTCACTTGGTGTGATAGGTCTTTTCCATTTTTGCAGCTTGCCTACGCAGCAGCATACACACACGTACACCTCAAAGGCTGCAAAATCTCTTTCTCGCTCCTCAGCGCAGAGCCGGGTGAACCAAAACTTGGGGTTTGCTGCTGACAGCAGCGTTTAGTGCATCCGTGGAGTTTACACTCATACTTGTCTTGCTCTTGGCCTCTTGCCATCATCTTCTCAGCATAGAGCAGCACCTACATCTGTGCGAAGATGCAGAGCAGGGCAGCTGGGAGGAATCCTGTGTTTTAGGATAGCACACCAAACAGTAACGGATGGCAGTCGGCAGCTAATGCCAGACTTGGCAGCCACAACATACCTTCCTGAAGGCATCGACATAATTCTCCTCCTTGTTATTTCCCTGCTGGTGATGCCTTTGTGTGTGATAGCAGTCTTGCTTGCTTCTCCGACTGTTTGTGCTATGCCTCCCAGCCCCGATTGTAGTACACTTCTGGACTAACCGCTCGTGCCTTCTGTTGGTCTGCCTTTCTGAAAATAGCAAGGTTGCTTCTATAGCCACAAGATATACAGAGAAGCTGTTTAGCTTTCGTGCTGTTTCTAACCATACTGTTTTGTGGCAGCAGCTACACATATCATTTATATACCAGTTAGCAAGAATATTTCAGAAAAATGCTTTGTTGCTTGTTGTATCAGAAATTATGTGGCTATACAGAGTCTTGTAAAGTAATGGTTGCAATTTTGCTAGGTGCTGTCCCTAGCAATTGGAGACTCAGTAAATACTTTTTGTATACTTTTCTAGCAATATAGATGACAAATAACACAGCAATTACAGGACACTACAATATGCGTCCTGTGACAGTTCATTGCACTTCTGAGCACTGCCAGGAGATACAGAACTGCATTGGCAGCAGCAGCAGTAACACAGAATGGATGAATATAGTACGTTGTGTTTATCTAGTGCCTTTCATCGGTGATGCTTTTGACAGATAGACCGGCAATGCAACAGTAACACACCTGCTTCTACACCACATTTTACCTAATGGTGAAACAGAGAGAAACTCTCACCAAGGCCCACTGCCATCTACCAGGGCACCTTTCTGCAGAGCCGTGCCCTGGCCTGGGTCGTTGCGGGGGTTTTTTCCTCCCTAGGTGCAGGACTGTGCATTCATCCTCGCTGAATTTCACACCACTCCCGGTAACTCATTCCTCCAGCCTTTCTAGGTCCGTCTAAACAGCAGCCTGTCCTTGAGCAATCGACTGGTCCCCTAATGTCATGCCATCTGCAAACTGGACAAGAGGGTGCTTACTCACCCCCCAGGTTATTGGTAAAAATGTGTCCCAGGTTAGACCTCTGTTACCACAGAGGTCTGTTACCAGCCTCCAGGTGAGCTACCCCACGAGCCTGGTTATCCAACCAGGAATTTATCCATCTGGTTTCTCACCCAGCCTGATCTAATGACCTAATTTGAATACAAGGAGATTGTGGGAGACAGTATTGAAAGCCTTGCTAAAGTAAAGGTAAACTACATCCATTGCCCTAGTCTTGTCCACAAACCAAGTCATTTTACTGTAGAAGGCAACCAGACTGGTCAGGCATGACCTACCTTTGGTAAATAGATGTTGACTGCTCCCAGTCAGCATGTTCTCCTTCATGTGCTCAGAAATGAGCTCTGAGAGGACTCACTCCATGGTGTTGGATGACCACCCTTAATTCCGTGAATCATTTTTTATCTTTTTTGAATAAAGTCTGGACATTTCCTTTCTCCTGTGGTCAGAGATCTCCTCCAATCTCTTTCACCTTTCAAAAACCAAAGCAAGCAGCTTTGCAAGGACATTGGCCAGCTCTCAGCACACTTTGACGCAGGCTGCCAGGTCCCATGGAATTCTATGGGTCTACTGCTCTCAATCAAGCCCTGCCTTGTCTGGATTTACCTGACCACCTATTGCTGATTGTTCATGGCCTCCTTGATCCCTGCCTCTAGTCACAGAGACCTGGGAGACCTTGTTGGGGAAGAGTGAGGCAAAAAGGCATTGAGCACCTCAGCCTCTGCTGTCCCCATCAACAAGTCCACACTTTCCTTGTTCAGCCTCTTAGTTCTGCAAAAACTGTTCTTGTTACCCTTGAAGTCCCTCAAGAGTTTCCACTCTAGCTGAGTAATGGCTATCCTAATGCTATCCAGAGTTGCCAGGAACTCTTTCTAAATTCCTCCTTTGTAGCCCATCCATACTTCCACCTTCTGTATATTGTTTGAGGAGATGAAGGCCTTTTTTAAATTCTTGGGAGTTTTTAGTAACTTCAAAGTGTAATAGATGATTGAATTGCTTTCCCTGGAGAAACCTGCCTGGTGTCTATGTCTAATCTTCAGGACTGATCTTTAAAATTGTATCAATCCTTATTTCAGATTACCACTAGAGCCTTTTAAATATATTTACTGCTTCCCTTTCACACACTGACTGTAATGAGGTTTCCCATTTTTACTAACAGCTCAAGGATTTCATATTTAATCTTTCAGAACTCATAGGTGTTTATCTGGACTTGATAATTATTTTTTTTTCACTTTTCAATTACAAATTAGCTGCAGTACTTATTCTCCAGATAGCTTAGTCTAGTAGAGTCTCACATTTTTCTTCCTAGAAAAGGGCATGTCTCAGTCCTCCGGTAGAAGACCAATATAGTTGGTTTCAGGAAAAGCTTCATCTAGCAGCTCGCCTTTGATGATCCCATATGTGTACTGATCCTTTGCAGGTTCCCTGCAGCTTATGTTCTTGAAGAGGAATGCCATCTTGTTGGAGAAAGAGGAGAAAGTTGTGGGCCTTTTAATACCGTTAGTTATTTACTCTTCAAATTATATTCCTTATGTTTGCTGTGTGTTACCTGCTTACAATTTAGCTCTTGATCAGTGTTTTTCTAAGCCCATATGTCTGAATTTCAAAGGACTTCTTTTTGACTCAATTAACCTCTAAACCTTTGTGTTTTCTGTGGCTGCAATGAGCTTTCACGATTTTCTATTACCTACTTTAAGACAGCATTCAGCCCATTGATCTGTCCCTAGGTGTCATCCACTAGATTTGTGCCGTTTATACAAAGTTAATTTTGTACCAGGAAAGCTGTAATGGGTTTTAGATAGCAGACATATTGCAGTAGTTATTTTGAAATTTTGATGAATGTCATTAAAGAATCAAAGGTATAGGAGACCAGTTCTATCATACAGGAAAATAAAGGCCAAGAGGAAAGGAGACTTTAAAGGGTTCTAACATACCTTTTTAAGTCTAAAGCAGGGTTGACAAAACCATTTTTGGGATGCTTTAGAAACTTCTAAAATGGTTAATTTTCTTGCTTATAGGGAATGGATAAGACTAGATAATACGTAAAGTAGAAGAAATTCATTAGACTAAATAACATGATATGTGATGAAAAGGTAATTCATGAAACCACAACAGAATTCTTCATATTGCTGAAAACAGTGTAGGATGCGACCTGTGTGATGGGTGCGCAGTGCAGTGCAGCAACACCACGAAAAAGCTGCTCTTCACTGTGTAACCCGGTGGCACATAGAAGTACTCAGCCCAGGTGCTTTGGGCTCGATTTGGTGAGTTCTGGTGCTAACACTCCTGCTCCCCAGCAGCGGGGTGGGTGGTGGCACCGTACTCTTGCAGGCAGCTACCCAACTTCTGTTGAACTTGCTGCATGTGGCTGAAGGGACTGCAATGCTTCCTCCTCTCCTTTGCCCCTGCTCAAAGGAGCTCACCATTTGACAGGGTCCTCTTACTCCTTTCTTTGTTCTCTTTTCATCTGTTTTCATTTTTTCCACCCCTTCCGTTCACTTCATACTCCTTGCGTCTTAAACCATAAAAACAATTTTTCAGTTCTCACTTTGTCTTTTATGAAAGATAAAAAATCAAACAACAAAAGAAACTGGCTTGACAGCCGTCTTCCTATGTGTTGCCCTTTGCTTGCCTGCAGCTCCTTCCTCTTCAAAATGTGGCTTCAAGTCTCCTGTGTCTCTTTTCTTCACCAACAATTAAGGTCTCTCCAGGATCTCTCAAGGCAGACGGATATTCCTTATGGCACTGTCTTGGACTCCGCAGTCTATGAGCACGTCCGAGTGAAAGGGATGAATCCTTTTGAGAGGGACAGCATGTATTCCCAAATGTGGCGGATGATTAACAGAAGTAACGGCTCGGAGAACAACGTCTTGGAGTCAACCGCAGGCATTCAAAAGGTACTGATATGCTTTACTTTTTGCTTCCCATTGGAGATGCTCTGCTGTAACACCACATTTGCTTAGTTGTTACTTTTAACTGTAAGGGATGCATTTGCGTCCAATGATCATGCCTGGTATCAATTTCCGCAAGCCCATTGCATCAGCACAGAGGATTGGGACTTCTCAGCTATGTAGCTTGTTTTCAACAACATTTTAAAATGTAAGTACCTAGAGTGTTTGCTCTGAAGAGGATTTATAGGTATGAGAGATGATTGTATTTGTCAGGATGCTAAATGGAAATAGGATCACTGGACTTATAACCCCAGAACACACGGCAATGTACTGTACAAAGCTTAAAGCACTTTGAATACAAGACATCGATGGACTTTTTTTTGTAGACTCCTGACACTGAAAATCTTGGCTTTCAGTTGTAGCTCTGAGTCAGGTATGTTTTGAGAGGCAGGCAGAAAAAGATGATCTGGCTTTAAAGAAAAGTCTCACAGCCACCTTCTGTAGCGGATTTAGCAGTGGGAAAATACTTATAGAGGAGGAGTCAATTTTTGTAGGTGCATTTGTGAGTGCAATTGTTCCCTCCCATGTTTTTGGTTGACAGCTACAGCTTTTATAAGAACACTAGTTCATGAAAGGGTTCAGTATGAGAGTGATAATGGGTTAATGAGTGACTGCATACAAACTTTTTCCCTACCATTGTATCTTCATATTCAGAGTTTTAAAATCAAATCTGAGAATTACCATATTTTATAGATTTTTATTTTAAACTTCAAAATGTGAAGATTGATTAACGCAAATATCCATGAAGTTGTGTGTTTGCTTGTTTTAAGCTTGGTTTAGAGACTTCTAAAAATCCAGACAAGCTCTGCCTTTTGTCTCCACTAAAATCCATTTGCCAGGAAAGCCTGTAATTTCTGGTGTTTTCACACTGGATGCAAACACGTAAGAGAAAAGAGTATGTTAAAAAGAATGATGAAATCACTGGTGATCTCTTGATAATAAAAGAACTACAAAATAACAAATATTCTTTGGAGTTTTAAAAATCACTAATCTACCATCTGTATAGCTGAGATCATACTTTCTCCTCTGAAGGACTAAGCAGCATGAAAGAAGAGGCAAGAGAGGCTCTGGGGAACTGCACTTTTGAAACCCCTTTAAATAAAGTTATAAGCTGAAAAGGCAAGCAAAAAAAAAGGCAGTCTGAAGATTTATTGACTAGAGGAAATTGCTTTTTTTGAGAAAATATATTTTAGCTCAGTTTGTAAGTGGCTGATAAAGCTGGGTTTTACCTTTTGTGTAAAAAAAAAAAAAAAAAAAAGCTGCCCTCCCGGTTTGCCTTCCCAAGTTATACTAAGGGTTTCAGAGGAATCAAAAACCAGAGCACGTCAAACACAGCTGCGTTGACTAATGGCTTTTAGCTGAAGCAAACCAACCAGTGTATCATGCTAGCAGGTAATTCCAGATTACAGTCTTTGATTTCTCATTCCTGGAAACATGGCAGTTGCTGTCCTAAGACCTACAAACCCAGAAATATCTGAGTTCTTTAATTTCCCGTGCCTCTGCTTCCTGGGAATAAGCACTTGCAAATGATGATGTTGAAAAACCAAGTTGCAGTAAGCGAGCAAGCCAACCACCCTCCAATTTTAAAATATCAGAGGGCTCAGGCCCAATTGTAATGAAAATATATATCCGCCTATGTGTGCTGTTTCTCCCTTTTTTTCACCTTACCGGAAAAAATGACACAGAAAAAGATTATTTGCCAGTTGCTGTTCACACAGAATCTTTTGGGAGACTTTATTTGGCCTGCTCAGGAAAAAAGCTGGATGAAGAATGTGATGTTAAAAGCTAATCTTGGGCAAGGAAAATTAATATTTAAAAAGGTAGCTGATAAGAAGCAGAGATTGTAATCTCTGTAATACACTTCAAAAAAATGAAAACATTTCAGAGGAAAGAATTCATGGGTCCCGTCAGCCTATTTATATACTTCATAATGTTCTTTGGGGTCTTGAACGAATTTAACTGGCCACGTCAGAGCTCTTAACTCAACCAGATTATAACCCTGGCCAAGCTAAGCCAACAGGTCTCCCTCCGTGCTTCATTTTGCTCCCACCATTAATCAGCACTAAAGCACAACTGAACAGCAGTTTGTCCAAGCTCTCCGACGCCGTTACCTCAGCACGCGTTCCTGGAGTGCCAAGTGAGGGCTGAGACTTAACGAGTGCTTCCAAACGGGTACGGGGAAAGGGATTTCTACTGGGCTGCCTAATGACCGTGAAGGGACTGTGACAGGAGGGACCCCGTGGGAGAGAGGTGTGCAGGAAGGGTGTTATGGACGCGGTGGACATGTTCTTCTTTAACAACATTCCCTGCTGCGCCCTCTCTGAGGTTAAATGGGGTTTGCGAGTAGCCATCACAGAAGATGCTTTGCCAAACATTTTTGTTATATCTTAAAGGTCCTTTAGTTTTGTCTTGCTTTTATTCTGCAAATTACAGTGGAGCTGGCACTCTTTGTATTTTGAGGAAAGGAGCAGTTTAATACTAACATATATATAAACAGGGGGAAGGGGAGAGGGATCAACCGCTGATTTACTTGTCGCATCATACGGCTCGCTCAGCAGGACTGCACGCTTGCTGTACCAGTGACTTCACGGGGAATGACACCTGTGTGAGGGAAAATACAATACAGCCAAATGACAATGATTGCGTAGTCCCATTTTGCATCGGGCAATGTACCGCTTGGACCTGCTTTTCCTGGCAGGAGGGCAGAGCAGACAAATAAGATGGGAAGATCGTGTTGTTGTAAGCCTTCAGGGTTTGGTATTTATTGGTCCTGTTCTTCTCATAAATCAGATGCAGACGTATCACTGTGTGCGCTCCTATTCCATCCATAGTGAACAGCTATATCCACCATCAGGTCTGGTTAGAGAGCAGCTGGGTAGATTTACTCTGAAGAGAGAGCAGAGTTTTAAACACCTCAAACAGGAGACAGCCTGAAAAGCACAGGCACTTTAGATATTTTCTGCCACTTATTGCCTCTTGTTTTCTCAAAAGGCAACAAAAAGCTCTTGAAGATCTGAATTGAAGGCAGGGAAGCATTCAGTTGTTTGTCTTCCTGCTCTGTCAAATCAAAATAGATGGGGAGGTAGCTGTATTCCTATATATGCTTGGATTATCCTGGAGAATATTCACTTTTATCTTCTTTTTTTCTTCATTATTCCTAAGTGTTTCATGTATCTCAAACTGATTTTCCTTTTTTGCATGGGTTAGGAAATATGCATCTCATTCTGTCAAAGGAATCTCTATTTTCGCAGAAGTTATTTATTCGGAGAGGATTTACAAAGGCGTAAGTCATGCCTGCTTAAGCATTCATTGAGGACTCCAAGAAAAATCATTTAGGCTTAAACATATCACATTACATACCTCTTTATGTCTTCTTAAAAAGCACATTACCCTGCTTAATCCTTTACAAGCACCACAGGCTTTCCTATCGTCGGAACTATTCCCATTTAAAATATAATGAAGCGCTTCCATTGTGCCCCTGTCTGCTCTTTCTTCCCCGGAGTATAATAGTGCCTAATGCCCTATCCTACCCACCTTGTTCCTCTGAACACGATACCATAGCCTCCCGTGTCTGCATTTTTCTCAGCACTACAAAGTGGCAAATTCCTTTCCCAGGCTGCATAGGCAGAATCCGAATACGTTTGAAACCTCTGTCTATTTAACTCTAACTGCAAAATATTTAGCTGGTAGGAAAGTTGTGAATGACTGTCAGGTGAAATAATGCTGCTGGATGGTACATTAAAAGAAACTCCTGTTAGGCTATCGTAATATTTCCTCTTCAACTTGCACACAGTATCAAAAGGAATTTAGTCTTCAGATTTTGACTTTCTTGTGATCCTACTTGCATTGCCAGTAGAAACATGCTAGCAACTGCTGAGCCCGTTTGTTTTCCCTGGACACCGTGGATGGCACTTTTACCTTCCTGTGAATACTGTAATAGTAATAATATTGTTTAAACTACCTATAAATAGGCCATAGCAAAGCTTTGCTAAGGTGATTTGTCTGGGGAAGAAAAGGATAATAATGATTTGCGATTCTGTGCTAGAACAAATTGTTAATAACCGGACATGGTTACTCTTAATTTGTTTTCAGCAGTAGCAACAGCATGAAGATTTCTATTGATGGGCCAAAAAACTCCTGAATTAACTAATTATCCAGATTTACTCACAAATTTGCCATTGGAATTGCTGTTCTGGTGGCAGATACACTGATCTTACCACCAAAAAAAGTCTAGTTAATATATGCAAGTCCATACATCTTTGTTGTGAACATTTCTGACCATGCAGTTGGCCAGTAAAAAGACACTGAAAACAAGAGATAACCAAGACAGACTTTTTGGATATTGGATCTGTACTGTGATTCAGCATTTTGACAGTGGCTAAGAAACCGATAGGCAGCAAAAAAGGCAAGAGCGTGTCAAAATGCTGGGACTGTACTCCAGTCCCCCATATATCTTAATTCATGACAAGGGGATCAGCTACACTCTGCAGCTCTTGGTTAGCAAACTAATTATCAATCCCGGCACTGGTCCCCTCGTTCCCCTCTGCCTCCAGAGATGATGCTTCTTGGGCAGATGAGATGTTCTGTTGCTGCTCCACAAGTAATGAGGTTCAGGAGTACTCTTAAGACTTTGACGTGTTTGGCCCCACAGGAGCAGCTACAATTTATCTATTTTGCAATTACCGTCCTCTGCACAGCCCACGACTTGGAGCTGACAAGTGCCTGGGGGGTACCAAATGCACCTGCTGTCCTCACTTGGTGTTATCATAGGTGGTTTGGCCCCATCTTATTTGTCATATAGTGTCCTTTTCCTGGAAAGCAAATCTCAGCATAAAACCTGAGCCAGATTTACTAGTGAAGTGTTGTTAATAATGACAGGAGGAATGCCTGATGCACTGACACTAGCATGTTTAATGTCTCATAGCTCGTCAACAGGTCAGTTTATG